ATTCAAAACAGGGGTTTCTAATGATATACTTGAGGTTGCCACCTGATCTACCACTAAATCCCAGTAGGACCCTTCTCGAAGTCAAGAAACGGAGTGTTCGGAAATGAGACCGTTAACAGTGCCTTTATACTTTCCAGGGTAAGGCGTTTGCGTAGTTTCAACTTGAATACCAGTAACTTAGGCGATGACCTAATTTCAGGCGGAAGATTATTCCAAAGGAAGGCATATATGGAGGTAAAGAAGAGGGAGCGCTTAGATGTAGTGCAAAGAGGCAGCGGAATCACCATAGAGGAGTTACGCGTGGAATAAGACCGATCTCTCGGAGTGAGAGTGTCAATGAGCGGAATATTCAAACTAGAGTTGATGCGAAAAAGGAAGCAAAGGCCAACTTCGAGTCCTCTAACTCACAAAAACTTAATGTTCGCCAGCTGACATCTCTGAGTATAAAAATACCGTACGAAGTTTGAGAGAACAGTTTCCGGGTGAAAACCCTCTGAACATTTTCGATTTTATTACGGTCACAGGCGTTCATTAAACCAAAGAAAGGACAGCAGTATTCGAGGACTGGAAAAACAAACATTTGATAAAGTCTTAGCTTCATTTCCGAAGTAATAAATTACGCGATATGAATCAACATATCTGCGCGGCTTTGGCAGAGATTCTATCTGCATAAGGTGATCAAGTAAGTTTATTTGTATAACTTAAACCAAGGCCCGTCAAGTTGAAGCACTCTGGGAGGGGGTTATTCTGAAATATTAAGGGATCAGGAAGTTTGGCAGGACCAAAAGACATGAAACTACACTTGGATGGTGACGGAAGATGTTAGCGACGAATTTGTCAGGGTTCGAATCACTGAGAGCAAGTGATTCCCTTTGCCTGTCGCGCGTTTGGCGCATCCTTCAGGCCATCTCAAAGATCTCTGTGATTCTAAGATGAACTGATAAGGAACTAGGGGATGGGTCACGGAGCTGCCTTCTCAACGTTTTCAGTCTGTCGTGAAGAAAATGAGGAACAAGGGAATTTGAAGAATTAGGCTTGAGATATCTACGTGGCACAAACTCTAGGATGTCCTTGAAAACATTGGACATGACGTCATGAAGAATGGTTGAATCGCTACAGGAGAGGAAGCCACACCAATCCAAAGCTCTGATATAGTTATTTATTAAGTCATTATCTGCGCAATCGCAGTTTTTGCAATGATGATGGTCTTTTTTTAAAAGACAAGCGGTAACCAACAATGAATTAATACGTGGTCACTGTCAAAGAGGTCCTTTTTTAAAGCAACAGAAAGAGGAGCAATGTCATTGGTAAAGATTAGATCTAAAATGTGATTTTCTCTTGTTAAAGAGCGCACCAAGTGGGACCAGTTAGAAAAACTGACAATGTCTTAAAAGGGCTGGCATCCAGGTGGACAGCTATTGGGAACCCAGTCTATTTCAGGAAGGTTTAAATCCCCAGTGATTATTTTAACATCAAAAGCAGCTTCCGAAATCAATTAAAAGATTTCACAGAGTTGCGAATCATCACTGGCTAAAGAATTGGGGGGATTGTAGATGCAGCCAATAATTGCCTTTCTTTGCGGCGAGAGAATAACAGATGCAAAGCAGAAGTTTTCCGTGAATGAGGAAACATCCAAGTAATAGGGAGAGTTTTTAGGTAGGATTTGAGATAAAGTAAACAACCGCTCCCACGCATAGTCGTCGGGTCCTGACGGTAAAAATCGAAGTCATCTATGAGAATGGCAGAGTCACGAATTAGAGAATGGGTCCACGATTCCGTTACACATATAATATCAGGCGTCATTTCGAGAGCAATGGCCCTGATTAGGGCAAACTTGTTTATAACACACCTGGCATTCAATAATATAATATCTAATGTGTTTCGAACGGCAATGCTATTGTGAACGGTCTTTAAGAAAATTGAATGCGGATATGTAAACTGTGAATTAATGACACGTGGAGAATAAGAACCGGTTAGTCTAGAGTTATTGACGTACGGGGAGTCAGCAAGAGAAGGCTGAGCATGGGATCTAAAAAATATGGGGATATACTTTACGAGCATTGGAAGGTTAAGAGAGTTAGAACAGGAAGGGCAAGTTGGTAGTTAAATTGTGGAAGAAGGGGAGGAGGGGGCTAGAAGGAAAGTTGAGGCTACTGGGGGAGGGTAGGCAGCTATAAAAATTAAAAGGTAGGAAACCAGGTCTAGGTTGGAATTCAAAGGAGGTAGGTTGACGTACCTGAGAGAAAGTGGTCTTAAGTGTTCGGAAGCCTGAACTATGTTGGTGAGTAAATGAGTTAGGGCAATTCATGTGTGAATTATTTGTTGGACATATAGTAGGACTTTGATAAGTAACCGGTGCGCAGGGCAGAGAAATATTTGGGGATATAATTGGAGCTGCGGGGTTTGTAGACGTGCTGGGCTGAACAGATCGGTAGACCTAAGAAAAGGCGGCGTACCCCTAGATGGAACTGTACTATCTTTCTTTTGGGTCGGAGTCTGATTCAGTTTTGGAGTCTCACCGTTCTGACGCCAAGCCACGGGTGACTTAACTGTAGAGCTTGCAGCACCCAGATGAACAGGGGAAGTTATCGGTCTAGCTGATTTAGACGGATTTTCATGTGTCTTCGCCGGGCTACCCGGAGGATACGAAACGACAAATGGGGCTGCTGCTGTTGCTACTAGTTTACGGGCAGGCAAATGCGTCAAGTGGCTTGAGCGAGATGAAGATGTAGGAGTAAGGGGAAGGTGGATTCAGATGTCGCAGGAGTAGGACAAGCTGAATGCTCACGGACACTTGTATTATGACAGAGTTGGTGAACATTAGACTGAGAAGCAGTGGGTTTACGTGAGAAGAGAGTGCCGATTCTATGCTCTATAGGAGAAAGATCATTCAAAAGGAAAATTTTGTATTTTCCAGGTGCGCAATGACACGATCTCGATGGGCAAACATAGTGTTCACCTCGATTGATGAAAATAGTTTGACTAAGATGGGTGGATTTTTGCTACGGGAGGATAAGCGTTTAGCATCGGCTATTTTGTAGTTGAAACCACATGAATACAGAAAACTGGTCGCCATATAAATTGGTCGAGCAGATCTAGGGACATTTTTAAACAGAAAGTTGTAAGAACGCTTTTGTCTATCAATAGATTCACCGGCGATCAGGTGAACAAGTGAGCCTAGACGCCTACATTCTTCAGAGGGAATATAAGCGATATTCTCGTCGAATAAATTTCTAAAAGTTGACAGCAAAGTGCCAAACTTTAGCATAGAGTCATTGCAGTTGTCCAGTACAGACAAATTAAGCTGCCGTCCAATGACAACGGGTGACGGTGACTAGTAATACCATCTGACTTGGATTTATGTAAGCCTTATGACTTTGGTTAAGTGAAGCCATGCTTACTGACAGAGGCCGAGAGCTCACGCCGACCGGTGACTTTTGCTAACATTTTGTCTCAAGGCTAGTTGTGAATAAGAAAACTTCTGGCAAACAAGGTGGCTGAAATTCAGCTAGGTACTAACGATGTAAAAATAAATTACACAGTTAGAGAGAAATCGAATTCACAAAATGAGAATTGCAGAGTGTGACTGGTGATCAACAGGTATAGACTAGCAGAACTAAAAACGAGATGGAAACAGGCTGTTCTGAGTAAATAGGCATGCATTTAAGGAAATTTAACCAAAAACGGGCTAAAATCGTTAGGTCTCACAGAAAAACCACTTAAAATAATATCCTCCACTTATCTTCAAATTTCGTAGACGCAACTGACCCCACCACGGCTGTCTTGACGATCATTTTGAATGCAAGTATGGCCTAGAAGAGATAGTTGGGAGTCAGCTACGAAGGCTGGTGCCCATGCGTCAGTTACCAAAGCAATATCTGGACAATGGACGAACACCAGAGTCTGAAGCACGGGCATCTTACTTAGTAAGGGTCTGGTGTTTAGAACAAAAAGTTTAAGGGGAAAGACTGTTTGTTTCTGAGGGAGGTGGGCTACGTCGTTCAGTGCTTGGCTGCCCACGGAATACACGGTCCGGATGTACTCATCCTATTCTGCAAATATTTGGTGGCATCAAAAGATTCCGATGTGGATAAAAAGGGTAGGACTTGGGGGAGGAAATGACGGGCAGGGATGCTGGTCACCGACTCCTGAGAAGTTAATTAATCGCTTAACGTTTTCCTTTCGATAATTTTGACGCTTTTTATTAAAAACTGTTTCACTGCAATGACCGATTGTCTTGAACGGACCTTTTGGTTCCTCACCGCCACACTGGCCCCAAAGTCCCTTTTACAGTTTGCTATTCCTAGATTTATTTACTTGTTATACCCTCTTATTCATCATCTAGACATCCATTTTTCGTTGATTACGTTTTCCCAAATCGTCGAACCGACTCGTTTTTTTGTTTACGTTATATAAACTCCTGCGTATACCGTTGACTATCCTCAGAGCAGTCCAACGCGGACTAAATTTACTCTCTACTTTGATAATGTTTCGATAATACATGTATAACCAATTCATTTATTTACTACCATGTCTACGCCGCCCTTATATTTCGCCAGCGCATATGAAGGTGTAAAATAACTTTTAGAAGAAATATCCGTGGTTTCTCGTCCTGAAGAGTCTAAACCACCAAGCCTGATGATTGACACATACAAACATCTGCACGCAAAACCCTATTTGGCCGCTACACCACTAATACTAACAGTAAAATTTGTTTATAACGTAACCCCAACCAAATCCTAAATCTAGCCCTAACCGTATCATAAATCTCCTTCTAAACCTACAGTTGCACATTACTTAAGCCCAACCTTAACTCTCACAATAATCTCAGCGCTAGCTCAGTTGGAATTTCGTGTCAATTCACAGGTTTGGAATTATAGCAGTCAACGCTATACGATAGGCCAAAACTAACCAATCACTAAACAGGTCTTCGGGACCAATAGAAATAGTATGGTCATGTGCGACCCTACAAGATCACTTTCGCGCTTAGGACAGGCCACATGCTGCTCCGAGGTTTGCGCCACTTCGTCAAACCCATCAGAAGAATCCTGCAATCCAACGTTCCGTTATCTCCATGCTGTGCTTATAAGTCATCTTCCTCACGCGAATTGTAGGCACCGCGTTTTCTCTGACCATCCAGCGTTAAGCTTACTTTCGTTTGGCCATTTAACGGTGGAAAAAAGACGGTCGATGCTAAAGTTGGAGATACTTTGTTAGATGCCGTTCTGGATAATGACGTTGACATTGATGGTTTCGGTAAGTCTCATTATTAACTTGACTCCTCAGGAGCATGCGAGGGCACGCTGGCCTGTTCTACTTGCCATCTCATCCTACCAAAAAATATTTACGACAGTCTTCCGAACAAGCCATCAGAGGATGAAATGGATCTGCTAGATATTGCGATGGCAACTACAGATACGTAAGTCAGCGGTGTTTATGTTCTAGCACGCAATTCCAGCTAATTAACACCTTTCTGAAGTTTACTATCTCAGCCTTGACCGTACATCGAATCTCTTTTTGCACGTTCTTTCTATCGTGCTGCATCGTAATTAAGAGTACTTACTGCTGTGGTAACTCCCGTTTCATCGGACGATTAGTGGCTTTTGTGGAATGATTATTAACTAAAGGACATGCCCTTTTGCATCTGAATGCGTACTTGCTTCTTTCCACACTTCTAAAAGTCACTGGGTCTAGAGCAGCGTACGCGAACCTGTTCAATCTTGGGAGACTGTGAATGATTATCTCTATGAGTGCTTTAATACCTTTCCTGCGGTTTTTCCAAATAAAAAAGCGGAGACGTGGGAATGCAGGTACGCGAAAAAAATGCTTACTAGGAAAAGGCTTATACTGATTGCAAACGTAAAGATACTGCACAGAACTCGAACAGCGCAGCTGAAGGATTGTATAAAATGCAGAATACCAGGAATCCGTAGTAGTATGTCGATATCGACGCAGTATGACATTAATGTCATAAGGGACATTCAGTTGGGAGGGGAAGTTTGTTTGTCCTTACAACGAAATAAAAAATATAGTGAAATTTATAAATTAGAAGGGAGTTAACCCAAGAAATATGGCTTAAAGTCACATATGTTCCTTGGGAAAGGGAGGAAACTTCATCGGGCGAATTCTCGATATTGGTCCCTTGGGTAGTTTTTAGAACGTTTGACGTACTCAAAAAATCAATGTCCGTTCGGTGTTTGTGCCATCGAGCGACAGTCGTTCGCGTCATTATGCATTGAGTAGTTCTTGTCTCATCACGGGAATTAAATTCATACTCGAGACAGGAGTCGACAATAAACTCCCGTTTCTAGATGTCCTCGTACAGCGAAGGGCTGACGGAACATTGCGCACATCCGCTTGTCGCAAAGAAACTTATGCAGAATTGACTCTGCATCATAAAAGCAATAACCCAACCTCTCACAAACAGTGCACCGCCAACAGTCTGCTCCATCGGGCTAAATTATCTGTTTGGATTATTTTCCCAATACGGTTATCCTGAAGATTTTTCATACCGATGGATGGAACAGCAAGAGTCAGAAGATGAACTAGATAGTTCTATCAGGCGCCCAGAGTAAATACTTGGCGAATCCTTCTGTGCATTAAAAATGTGTCTGAAATCGTTGAAAACACTCGAGAAAACACCAAGTACAAGTGACGCACAAACTGACGACTACTTCATGCATTCAGATAGTACATTCTAAAGACAGAGTTGACTATTTTGATAAGAATAAAGTCGTCAACAAGGTCTCATGCGATGCCTGCGACGCCGTCTATTGTAACTAGGCGGGAAATCCACCTCTACGCGCACCCATGGGCATCAACTGGCAGTTAAGAGGCTAGGTCATCTAGCTCAAGTGGCCATTGCGTACCCTAGATACCTGGCACACGTTTGTCTGGGGCGAACCTCGCGTCTTCGGCCTCTGTCATACCAAGACCGAGGTTTTATCAAAACCGTGCAGTCAGGTGAGTCATGCATCTGTCGGCATATTAAGTTTGATGCCGTGTTCAAAGATCTCGGAAAAGTGGAAGAGGTGGGAGCCGATCCATGCATCATGACTGACGCGGCGGCGGCTGCTTACTGACGCAAATCCGAAAAAGTGCCGCTTTCTGGGCGCTTCTGCAGTGTTAACCGTTTTTTTGTACATTTACTCGATATCTGACGACCACCTGGAGAGCCAGTGCCGAAAATGTACCCAATAGAGTTTCCTACTTAATGAACATTTTCGGCTTTAAATAGTAGAATGTGTACATTGTGCGCGATAAATGCTGTCAGTACGAATTGATATTGTCTTGGGCTAGTGTGATACGCGGGCGTTACAGCATGAATTTGTTGTTCATAGAAAGCTAGATTTTCGATAGTATGATTGCAGCTCCGTGTGATCTGTTCGCTTGGTTAATTAATCAATGAATGATTAACGCCCGCTTCGCTACAATCATCAGTTTTTCCCGGAGACTTGGGTCTCTAGACTGAGCTCTAAGACGACGTCATGACCGCCTGTGTTGGAGGGGTGCTTGCACCTTCAGATGCGTTGAGTAATCGACTAGTAAGCAAATAACCTCACAGACCGAGTTCTTTGCCGCCAAATTATTTGAAGGATCTTCGTTTCCTAGGCAAATCAAAGGAATCAGGCCAGTTGATAATATCCGAGTAGCAATTGAGAAAACTTCGTGTACAGTAACTTTATTTTCTCGCATTTTGGATATTATCTAGTGTGCCGAGCAGCAGACCTCAGGCATTACTCGGGCGCTAGGTTTCGGTTAATGGTGGTCCGTAGTTCGTCAGCGGAGTCTGAGTAATTTGGTGTCCATAATTTGTACGCACATTAAACTCTTAGTTCAAGCCAAATGTTAATACAAGAGCAAAATTTTGCTCATTTACTACCAGGTTCCATTAACTTATCTACATAAAAACTTTAAACCGGCTTTTCTCTTTGAGGTCTGACCACTCATCTGACCTCAGTCTTAATGTCATCGGTCAATAAAGGCACTTATTAGAGCTTACCACCACCTCTGAAAAAGAGGCTGAGAGGACTGTAAACTTTTCGGATAACCTGCTATCAGGCATACGCGCAAAATAGTCCGACTAATTAGGAGAAATTTAATGCACCCTGTAACGCCTTCGGATTTGTCATGGGCGTAAAGATTTTCCACAAGACTGACAACAACTGCTTTGGCATATTCACCACGACCCAACCTCATACTGAGAACTTCGACCATAGTCAGGTTGGTGAGACATGGCTTGTTTTCGAAAAAGTTACCTTGTTTGAGATCCAGGAGGCTGTCTTCTCAACAGATGTGTGGACGATCGCAGACAGGATGTCCCGTAACTTGGCACAGGACGCCTTTAAGGCTGTCTAAACTATCATTAACCAGGAGGTTTTTACTAGCGGACTGACAATGATCTGCTACGAGTGTTTCTGAACGAAGCCGGGTAAAAAGCCCGCATGAGAAAGTGTCTTGCGGACTTTTTTTTATGATGACAGCCTTGTTTGACTCCCTGAGCCACCAACAAGACATTTACGGTGTGATTTATTTTCTGACATCGGTAATTTTGATGGCAACGAAGTTGAATTAAACATATTTTGGCCCAGTACTTACTTGTACGTGTACTTGAAACGGCCGCGATCATGCCTGATCTAGTCGGCCTCGATGATCTCCAGAACTGTACCTCTCCACGCGTGACGTTCCGTGGCAGCAGATCTGGACAGTTCAACCCATTCCGCCAACGACGGAGACCGAATACCGAAAGTCTAAGAACCACCTCCATGTCATGACGAACTGTATCGAGTCAGGTTTTGAGCTGGTTCCCTATTAGACGCCTCCAATAGGGTAACGGTACTGAATCGAAGACGGTAACACTGAGCTCCCGAGGTGGACGACGAAAAACATGCCCAAATCACCTCAGTCGTCTTTCTTGGGTGGCCTAGGTTATCCTTGCGATGCTGTCGCAGCGCGTGCGGACTGTATCATTTGAGACGAAGTCGGTGTACTTTACGCGAAGGATGGTCCTCAAGCAGTGGTGGTCGAAATCCTCCAGTTTTAGCTCGTCCTCCACGCGCACAGCTCAGCATTCGCAACCATAGAAAAGTACAGACCGGACATATGCACAGTACACGCGATGGCGATGTCGCGTCGAATCCACAGGCGTTTTCGAAGGTTTGAGAAAACCCGTCGCGCAGCATCGATTCGGGAGTCAATGTCGTCTTTACTTTGTCCATTCCGTAGCAGCCTCACCCAGAGGTATTTAAAATTGTCTACTTCTTCAAGTTGACAGCCATCGATCCCGAGAGGGGCCTTCTCCTGGTCAGGAATGAAGCTTAAAAACACATTAGTCTTCCCAGCGTTTACGGATAAACCGACCGATTGAGTGACCTAGTTCACCCGTGACACCATAGACCACAGATCACCAGAACTTGCTGCTCGTAAGGCAATATCATCGGCATAGTTGAGATCAGTCAGTCGGTGTCCGGGTACAAACTCAACACCGTCACCTTTGTGTAGGACCCTCCCGAGAATCCAGTCGTCATAGGAATGCAAGCAGCTGAGCCTTTTCGCTGGCATACGTATTTTCACCTAATTGTGATGTTAAATGTTTCTCAACTTGCGCCTTTGCACTCACGTAATGTGTTCGAAGCTGCTCATCAACGTCTCTGGACAACTCTAGGAGGCATCGTGTCAGGTGACAACCGAGTACACTGTTGCTTCATGGCTGATCATAAACCCAACAGCACTCTCTGCCGTTGACGAAATAGTGATCTTACCGTCTGAGTTTTTCTTCGCTGATAGCTGCGCAATCCTATAACGTAGGGTTTAGATTTTCCAAAGTCGTGGAAATAATCCTCTACTTTTTGATTGTTTTTGTATGTTCAATCGGAAATTTTCGGGATAGTCTTCCGCCATGTGTACACATCTCGAATTGTTTTTGGTCGAATAGTATTCCGACGTAGTTGACATAATCTCCGCGCTTGAAACCCTTGTTAGACAAATCAAATAGTTTAAAAGCGAACTACGAGGTAGAATCAAGTCCAATAGAATCACCGTTACATTTACGTTAGGATGAACTGAGGTCAACTTTAACTTCTATCGCTCGTTTCCTCTGCTGTTGATCTCTCTTACGCCTCTAGGTTCGTGAGGAAATTTTCTTTATTTCTAGACCACAAAATGTGAATGTAGGGAACTAACTAATATATCAGATACAGTTACTTATGCCGATATTGAAAACGTACACTTTCCGAACAATAAACAGACTTTTGGGGTTATCGAATTTCCTTACTACAAACAGTATGTCTGTAGTTAAGGAAATTTCACCAGGGGTCGCGTTAAAGAAAGTGGGGAGATGTGTGTCAGCCGTTAGCCGACGCAGAGCGGCTAACTCCTGATTCGGTTAGTACATGAAACCACCCGCTAGGGGCCGTGTCCTTGTAGGTGAATCAGTGCACTCCTGGAGGACCAGTGCCCGAGGACCCAACTAACGCCGGTATCGTCCACACTGTAGCCGCACATCCAACCACCGCATGCAGTCACGTGCGCACACAGTAAATCCACTTTTCAGTATTGCCCACACCTTTTCGACTGCCACTCTTGTCGGTCACCAGAGGGTCTCCGCCTTCGAGCTATTCTCACGACTGCAGACACACACGAGTCCACTAACTATCACTCGTGGTTGATTTCTTTCACAAGAGATGCAGCATTTCTCACATTGCCATCTAGTCTGATCGTTTCACCGGAGTTCTTATCCCTGTGGCGGCGTTTGCTGTTACCTAGCACTTCCTTAGAAGTACTTTAGAGCGTTTGATTCTTTCCGTGCCATTTTTTCCAGTAAATGGCGCCCCGGAGGCTGCCAAGCGTCTGTCGGAGTATCAGAATCCTTGTACTTCTTTACGGGTTCTATCTTCTTCAGCATACAGTCTGTATGATGCCCGAACTCCCACAGGGGCGTATTTAGACTTATATCCGCTGCGGGTCTTGGCGCCACTCGCCACACGGAAACCACGCAGTTAGTTACAGCAGCTTTCTCAGACAGGTGTATGCTCGATGGATTTTAAGGTTGATCATTATCAAGGTCCTCCGCGATTAGGTATCTCCCGAGGAGTCGAAAGCAGGTGTTTGTGACGACCAAACGGTTCGGCGCATCGTAGTTGGCAAGCTTTTCACCATTTGCACTACAGTTTTGCACAGCTCAGTGGCCAAGGAATCACCTGGTAGATGCATCTCTTTTTCCTGTACCGACGTTCCATTCATCCTCAATGTGGTAGGAAATAGATCTGACAGCAGTCTTCATGAAAGGCCTCTTTCTGTGTATATTCCCCGCATTCATCATCACTGCGTGCGTGGACACTTGTGGCGATAAAATCACGAAGATGCATAAACGAGGCCTTATGCTAATCACTCAGAGCACCTGCGAAACTACTTACACCGCAGTTATCAATGGCACCACCGTAGAAGGGGTGGGAACATTAATCAACGTCTGGCACCTCGGAGTTGCATGAACCTGATCCGACAAGCGCACCTCGGAGGGGACCGCAGCGTCTGTATTGTACTGCACTGACCCTCACGTAGTAAGCCTGTGCGTTGCCAATGCAAGGTGAATTCACACCTCACAGCCTGCGGTGTACAGTTTTTTTTAACGAGGCCGGCTTACAGACTCACCAGCAGATATCTGGATGCGTCGGTCCCCGTGGATTCCAAAGCATCAGCCGAGATTAAGGATTATGAGATCTGCATGAAATGGAGGTCCACGAGTTCGGTATAAGTGAGATTCACTAGTACTCTATTCGTTCTTCGTATAAATGCTCAAACTGCAAGACAGATGTGATAGAAAAGGCTTACTTTACGGCAGCCTATGCCCGCTACGCCACCACAGCACCGCACTCGGGCTGTGTGGAATGTTACAGTACAGTCAATTTGCCAACCCTCAACCTTCCGCAGTCACAGTCACAGGTTGCTTATCGATTTTTATGCAAGTGCACTGGCTCTTACGGACATTAACTTGGCAACATTACGAATGCAGGAACACAAATCTGCGGTGAGTTGTGGTGACCAACCCTCCTAATTTGGTTGCTACTTGACGAATACATCACAGTTTGGATTTCTCCGACAATCACCTAACTGCCAGGGCCCTGGAAAACGGCCCCATGTCACTGGAAACACGTGATACTCGGTCTATACCTTGTGAGGTTACATCGTGTGAAGTTGCTGCACGTGTTAGTCGAAGTCGTCACGCCTTGCTGGCCACTGCACGCAATCTCATCTCCAGTCGGATTGAGTCGGATTTGCCGCTGGAATGAAGGAGTAAGAGAGACAGAGGTCATTCTAGGTCAGATCAAGCTTTTACCTCCTTCGTTGCAACCAAGTTTGCATTTAACCGCCACTACACGTTAATAATCATGGTTTGGAAGATTTCCAACTGACGCAATAACACGCTTCCGCTTAGTACTGGGGCAGGCTGCCTGGCTTCCTTTGGTGTGACCTTTGTGGTTCTCTAGCTTGAAATCCCTGATCGGGGGCGGCACGTGTGCAGTGTGCGTAGACGTGGCCCTCGCCCCGTAAACCACTGCACCCGTCCCATTTCGAGTTACGAGTCTATCTTGACATTGGAACATGGTGGGTGTGGAAAGGCAGAGTGAAGTTGATGCGGCCAGTTCATGCTCACCTCAGCGTTGCGCCCTGTTCAAGGCAATTGTAGTCCTTATCGCTTGCGACAGTCGAGTTCGTTGCTATCTTCTGGGTAAAGATTGCAACATTGCAAGGTAATAGACCGTTTTTGTTTATACCAAAGACTGAAGATCTCTCATATTCGTTCGCTGTTGTCTCTCAGTACGAGCCTTCTGGTTCGGTATTTGTCTACCTTGAGGAGACGGTTATGTTTGCGAAAGGTAGTAGCATACTTAGAGACCTCATTTACCTACAGTTGTCGGACAATGACGCAGGTGAAACTAGTCCTAAACTGGCAAGTCAGTAAGTAGAATGTCACGTGGTATTGGCCCCGATTGCCCGACGACGTACGTGAATTCCAAGTTAAAGGCCTCGTATGTGGACTTCATATTAGTTGAGTGTGAATGATGATGAGATGCTACCGACGGCTAATAAGCCAGAAATGACCATTCCGGTCTCCCTTGTCTTTGTCGGTATCATCTCATCTACTTCTACTACCAGTCACTGTGCGACTGCCTGCGAGGGTTCTAGTATGAGCCCAAAGGCACACCGGAACGAGCATGTTCCGTAGTCTGATTGGTGAGCGCCTATCTGTCACTCGTATGCACCCACCTCTGAATCTATTCAACCCTATGGGCAGAGAAAGGGGTCTCAGAAGTTCCTGTGCCATACGTTGCGGTTACGTCCTATGTTGAGCATACCTGACTGTCCGCTCCTTTTTAGCGCTTATAGCTTAACTTCCGGAGACTTTTCCAGGCTTTTTAGTGTTTGTGCGTAACCCTTTGATGTCAAAATTGAGTTGGGATTTAGGAAACGACACCGCTCTCTCATTCTTCCTCATACCAGTGTGATCATGGCCTCTCTGGGAAGAGCCGACCGCATGTCCCTTTTCCTGATTTGAACTGGTGTATGTGCATGTGTCAAAAACTCGGGTCTGGCAACCGCTGATATTTTAGAAACCAAATGACGTTTGGTATCCCCGTATTCCGCCCACCAGCCTGCTAAATGTCTTATTCCTTGCGTTTTGAGTGCCGAGGCTGAACCTGTTGCCTATTACTTTTAAAATTGAACACTTTACTTACCATTTCACAGTAGATGTAGTGAATCTAATTTTATAATTGTCCCTTGCTTATCGTTGGACTATCCGACGTACCCCCTAGATTGGCGAGCGCAATGATTTATCCCAGATTTTCTCACAATTCAACTTCAGCGCACTCTTATATTTTCAATGAAGCAAAATTATCTGTTGCTCGAAAGCGAAATAAACTATGTCTTCAGTAATTGTATTTCTCGTGCACACAGCTCTCGTCTGGGGTGTCAGGTTCGGGTTACAGCAGACATGGATGGTGCCATCATAAAAATTCCTGAAGGAATACTGGACTCTCGACTCTAGCACGTAGGTCTTTGCTTCCTTCAACCTCATAACGTCGTGTTTCTATGGAGTTTGCTTTGTTTTTTTTTCGTATCCTCATCCTGCTGCTGACATTCCAATTAACGAGAGTTCTTTGGTCCGCGTGATCATCGGCGATATGTTCTGACTTAAATTAAAACCCAGTGTTTTTCGAACTGGAATTTAGTAGGCCATTAACATCTTTCTCCTCAAGGCGTCCCAATTCGGTCCAGTTTATTGAGACGCGACCGTTTTGCAATTTCCACCACCATCGAAATCGTCCACCACGGTCTCCTATGATCAAGTTAGTGCGATCTGGAGTTGCTATCGATGTCCGTGAAAAGTCGCACGTGTTATCGGCTTGCGCATTACCGCCTCATTTTTGCAAGTGCTAACAAATTTACCGTACGCTATCCGCAAGGTCCTTATACCTGGAGTAAGATCCGACTGTCTGGAAAACTTGTGTATTTGCCATAAGGCAAAAGGCGAGACCAACGGGAGTCCGGACTTATATGTTGGGGAGAGTTCTTCAAAACACTACACTGGCTTTTATAAGGGTAACAATGCATCTTTTCCACTTTTGGCTCTCTGTAGTCAACTTGGTCGGACGTCAGGGCGTTAATGGGTACGAATGTGCTTATTGTTTTGCTGCGCTGTTTGCTCAGACCCGACCATTAACCAAACGTGCGTGCGGCACGCATTTGCCTCAAACCCTATGCCTCATTAACTGTCGACCGACGCGATAGATGAACCGATTCACAGTTGCAAGAACCGTTTGAACCGCCACCTGGGCGTAATCTGTAGATTTTTTCGCTGTAAGCCGTCGTGGTCTGGCCGCGTCAGGCGAATCCTCAAACAACCGCCCTATTGGCCGCTTTGGGCTCGCAACGCGACGATGGCGAAATACTGTTTCTGGCTGGTTGTCACCGGCACGCACCTCCTGTATCTCCGCAAATATCTGGTAGCCCGGTATTCAGATGATAAGAATGCCTTCAGTCAGACTGACTGTATTCAGCTCGCTTCAGGATCTCGTTGCGGGGTGTGCGATATCAAATCGATGCGTGATGCCGAAGAGGAAAGAAAGGAAGAAAGCGGTCTCTTGGGCCACACCTGTGGAGAAGCCGACCCGAAGCCATGTGACCGGCGTAGTACATTGTCTTACTGACACGCCCGCGAGGTCGAAAGCACCACTCATGAGTAGCAATGATTGATCAGTCCACCGTCTGACGAGGGGGAAGCCGACAAGCACGCTGGCTTAGCGGCAACCGCAACATCCGCGAGGTGGACAGAAGCCACTTAAGTCCGCCAATGGTCGAAATCAAAGAGCCCAGAACCAGCTGACAGACAGGCCAAAGTATGTGCGTCGAGCACGGTTATAATACCAGACAGGCAGCAAGATTGAATAAGTCGAGGCCATCAGGAAAAACTAGCGAACCACTTGTGATTTAAACGAAGAAGTTTGCGAAACGTCAGTACGAATACAACTTGGTTCATGAAATCGCCCATGGGCGCACACCGATCTGTTGGCTTCACGAAGCAAACAAGCTCCGTATGTGTGGCAAAGGTCACGAACAGGTAACCAATTACCAGGCCGAAGTCGGTCAAGTCATAATAGCAGCGAGGAGGGACGACAGAGAATGCGGGTAGATTGATACAGTACTGTTTCGGGCTTATTTTGCCAACCAACGTCGGGAGACGTCAGATCACCTGTGCCTGACACTTTAAATACTACTAGTGTTCAAACTATGCTGGGGCAATTTTCTACCTGCGCGCATATGTAAGTCTCACGATGGCGAGCAGCAGCGAGGCGAGACGTTAAAGAAAAACAACTCAACAGAGAAGGCACTCAACTCGGAAAAACGCCTCAACTCTAGCCACTTGTGATCGGACCTTCAGCCTCTAAGCAGCGTACAACGCACACAGTTGTTGAAAACGTCAGGCGGTTGGCACGCTTACGTCATCTCTTCTTTTTGTTCCCTAAATGAACTGCCATCTTAAAACTACTGACTGTTTACGCGCGGTGTTTTGGTGTGTGGGAAAAATCACGCAATGTTCCTTTCACCCGATACGTGGACTGCCTCGAACGACGACGCCCATCGCTGCCCCAGAAGGTGGGCGCGACCGTCACTTGCGTGTCCACAGTGTCGATGCGTACGGCCTCATTCCTTCCTTCCTTCCACACCGCCCTCCCCCCCGATGGCAAACCAAAGTCAAGGTGATGCACTTCCTGTCGGAAAACCACTACTCAAGCAGCTCGCAACTCACGCGGCTGTCCCCTCGCGAGAATTTAGGTCTCATGGGACTTGGCCGGGCACCGTCCTCTCTGAGCCTCGTCCTGCGAGCTGGCGTCATTAATTCCTCCGAAATTCTGCTACGCCATGTTCAGCCATCTGCGTCTAGACTACTCTGCCTGTTCCAGGAAGAATTTGTTTTATTCGTAAATACACCATACCTGATAATATATTTCGGACGTTTCCTGCCATTCAATGAGTCTTTTAGTCTTGGCGCCTGCTGGCTTCCACCTGTCAGCGTGCGCAACCCCAAATCCGAGTGACGTGAGAGGGCAGACGACCGAGAGCGTCTTGATGTCTGGAGCGTTCGCCAAAGTTTTTGGTCGGTGCGGATTGGTATCTCTCGTCTCGTCTGTGCTGCACGCGCCGGTTGATGAAGTTGTACGGGCAGCCATTCTCACTGCGCATCCACTAAACGTACTGTAGTTCAAAAGACAGTTTTGCGAGCATACGTCTGTCCTCGTAAATTCTCTTCAAGCCTGTACGTTTATATGGCTATTGAAATAATGAATCAACAGATACGGGCAAGTAGATACTTATGCTGTAGCTCGGGTTTGGGGGGGGAGGGGGAGAGTGAAACACCAAAATTCCAGTCAGCGCCAGGGAGAAGGTGGGCCCCGGAAAGGTGGCGGGCTCGGTGGCTTTGGGCCATGGAAACTGTATGGCCTGTATGAAGTTCTTTGTGCTCACAGGACCGGTTTGCGTAACCCGATTGAAGTCGAATCTGTCGTAGCCAACAGACGCCGTTGAAGTGGTTTTGGATAGATTGGCGGAACCCTCTAAATTACTCGGAGGGCCTCTTTGGCATCCACATACTGGTCTGTATCTACCATGTACGCGAAGATAGCACTGTTTATGTTATTTCATCCACCTTTCCCCAACCATGCTGGAAGATGCTCTCTTATTATTTTGGACAAATGTCGACTCGTGCGGCCTTGTCTCCCGCTTCACTGCGCTGCGTCTCAACACTTCGATAGAAGGCTTTTATTCAATCACGCTTGTGACTCAATAGGTAATTGTTGTTAAGACTTAGTACTTAAGTCATTTTAGTTCTTAGACCACCCAAATCTCCATGGCTAATTAGAGCATCATGTAAGGCCAGTTAGTTCCCTTAATTCGTACATTGCATCTCAGGGGAGATGATGTTGTGATATCCTTTGTGTGCCAATATCCTGTCCCGTTCGATGACGGTCCCGGTGAAGAGGTCCATCATCGGGCTCATTGACCGCCCCCCTTCCGTATTCAGCGCCGGAACTCCGAGTACAGTAGTTAGTCAGGTGGGGAACGCGCAGGCCATTACTGCCTCCAGCGACACATATGACCGAATGATCACACTGTCAACCAGCATCGATGGTGAAATCGCTACCATTAACGGCACGAATGCCGCCGATCGGGCAATCATCGCACCAAGTGCGACCATATACAATGAGTGCGAGGCGGGGCCGTCACTTTTGACAGGGTGTGTGTGTGTGGTGACGTAATAAACACTCTACACCACCCTGTATTGAATACTCTTAACCGTTACTGCCCTTTGGTGATGGTCCCCAGTATGAATCCTGAACGTTGAAACATTGACATTCTTCTTCTTAGAGTTGCGAAAATTCCCACTGAAGAATTCAAAAGACAGTTTGGCGAGCATACGTCAGCCTTCGATAAATTTTCATCAGGCATGTATATTGCTATCGAAATGGCTAAAGGGAAAAATGCGGGCAAGCAAAGTTATTCCGTAGCTGAGGTTGGGGAGGGGAGGGTCTAAGTGGGTGAAGGACCACCAAAGCTCCCGGTGCTGACGGCAGAAAAAAAGAAGCTTTTCATCAGGGTCCCGTTTCAAGGGGACGCGCCAAGTGAACTTCCAAAAAGGCGCATAACTCAAGCTGTATCACACACCTTTTCAGCAGCTGACGCCCGTGTACTCTTCTCCGCTAGTTCCATCCGACACGGAGAGGGCAAGGACAGACTGCCAGCCCAGACCGCTTCTATGTGTATTTACTCCTTCACCTGCTCCTGTGGGGCAGAATATATTGGTCGCACAAGCCGGCATTTGTCCAAAAGAATAAGAGAACGCCTTCCAGCATGGTTAGGAAAGGACCAGATAAAGAATGTCAACATCTCCATCCTCGCCCACATGGTAGACACAGATCACTGTGTGGATGCCGGACAGGCGTTCCGAGTGATTTACAAGGTCCCGTCAAGCTATCCAAAATCACTTGGACAGCGCCAGTTGGCAACAGCAGCTGCGGCTGCAATCAGGCTGTACAAACCAGTTCTATGCGCACAAAAGAGCTTCGTACAGGCCCCACAGTTACCATGGGCCAAAGCCACCCTGCCAGACACCTGTGTATAATTACCCGTCCCAGTGCCCACCATCCCCTTCTCCCCGCCCCCTGACACCGACGGTACTTTTGTTTTTCACCTCATCCACCCAGACCCTCCCCCCCCCAAACCCCGGCTACGGAATAACTTTGCTTGCCCGCATTTTCCCCTTTAATCATTTCGATAGTAATATACGTGTATAGGCCTGATGAGAATTTATCGAATGCTGACGTATGCTCGCCAAATTGTCTTTTGAATTCTTCAATGGGAATTTTCGCAACTTTAAAAATAAGAATGTCAATGGTTCAACGTTCAGGATTCAAACTGAGACCCATCACCAAGGAGCAGTAACAGTTAAGAGTATTCAATACAGGGTGGTGTAGAGTGTTTATTACGTCACTCCACACACACACCCTGTCAAAAGTGCCAGCTCCGCCCCGCACTCATCGCATATGGTCGCACTTGGTACGATGATTGCTCGATCGGCGGCATTCGTGCCGTTAATGACAGCGATTTCACCACCGATGCTGGTCGTTAGTGTGATAATATGTGTCACTGGAGGCAGTAATGGCCTGCGCGCTCCCCACCTGACTAATTACTGTACTCGGAGTCCCGCCTTTTGCCCACTGTCTCGAACAGTAAGGGATTTCGGCTGGGAGCCACAGGCTTGTACACTTCTCTCTGCACCAGTTCGTGCGGCCTCATCAGGATGGTGGTAGAGCTCGTTAGCTACGGTTGTGCGCACGCACGACCTCCACCATATGTCTGCATCGGGGCTGCTGCTGCTGAGTGCATGTGTTCCCAGCTGATCACTGAGTTTACCTGCGTGTGCGCGTGACAGACCATCTGGGCCGTCGGCTGAGCGAGACAACGCCACTTGCGCACACCCTTTGCAACCCGGCAAGCCTCTAAGGTGGGGCCTGCGTGCGTGCGTGTGTGCGTGTGCGTGTTCCGAAAACAAGCTATACTTTAGTGTCAAGGTGTGGCCTTCGTAAGTGGAGGCGCAATGCGTGTTCAGCCGCTGCTGCGTCCAAGCTCATCTTTAGCCGTCCTGACCAACGAGCGCTTCGTAGTCTGGGCACGTAGCGGGTCTGAGAGGGTTGTTTAAGTCGACTGAAGACACGTTACGCGGGGGAGATCCGGAAATGGGGCGGTGTAACCGCGTGTCAATCTCTTGCTGCCGATGACGTCCTTTTCATTATCGTTCACCATCTTATACACCCTCTTTGCCGTCAGCACACTTCCACGGCGCAGCGCTTTCTACTGGTAGTCCAGCAGACAAGCTGGGATCATTGCATCCCCCGACTCCAGACGGATCACCCGCACCTGTAACAAAGTTCCTTCTTGTGCTTTTGGACATGTCTAGAGTTTTAGCCTGTTTATTGACTGTAGTGTATAGTTTTCTTCAACTCTAGTGCCTCTTACGACACCCTTATATTAGTAGATGGGCCACCTCATGGAATGTTAACCGAAATTATGAAGTATGTTTTCGACCTAAAAGATTGCTTAAATAGGGCCGTAATATTAACTGTCATTCAGCATAATCCTAAGATATTTCAATCACAACAGTATGCCAGCTTCTGAATGAGCTCCCTTTCGGCCGTCTCTACGAAAATGATTGCGTGAGCAGTGTTGATTTTTCCCGCTGATTTCCAAATTCCATACAAATTCAGCTATACTATATAGAAAACATGCACAGAATATCCTGTCTTGTACTCATTGAGCAGCAAGGTACGTTTTCTTCAAATTGTATACGTTAAAAGAGAGTATCTTTCTGTTTTTAAAAACCTTTTCCAATTCCGGAATAATTTTGAGCTCCTTCTGCCGATCAACTTGGATTCAGGTTGCCAAATTACAGACTGTGTACATTCTATCAGGGGAGTATTACACATTTCTCTACGCGGTTAGGGAGACTTAATATAAGACTCATGAAATTGTGTGTTGGACGGCTGATGCGATGCTGCATGAATGGACTTTTTACAGTCCTAAAAATCTCATAATTACACAAATTTGTAACCTCAAAAGTACCCTTTAGGAGAAAACGTAGTTTTCTTCCAGGGAGATACAAGAAAGAATATTTTTGTGTATGTTTTCTATGTAATATATCTGAATTTATGAGGGTATCAAAAATCAATTGCATAGTGCATGCCAGTTAAATAATCTTTTTTTTTCAAAATGTACTTTTTCGCAGACGATCGGAAGGAAGCTCATTCAAAAGCTGGCACCCTGGCGTGATTTATATATGTTTGGATTCTGCTGTGCGATCATTAACATTACAACCCTACTTAAGTAATCTCTTAAAATCGATACATATCTCAGGTCAATAATAGTGAAAATACGATTCCCAGGTGGCATATCAAAAGAAGAGGAGGCGTTCACCGGGAGGGTTTTATTGGAGGTCTGGTATTTCGAGTAATTTCTTCGTCTACCCATCTTCAGAGAGCTGCGCGCATGACTTCGCAGTCTCTGAGGGTGGGTAGCCAAAACAACTACTCGAAACGTCAGACCTCCAGTAAACCTCTCCCAGTGAACGCCTCACCTTCTTTTGACATATCTCAGAATTCCGGTTAACATTTCACAAGATAGCACCTCCACTGCGTGTGTTTGTGCTGAGCGACTCTTCAGCGCTTCTATAGCCAGAAAACCATCCCAGGCGCCTTATTTACCCGAATGTGCGTCGTCCGCAGCGTCCTCGACAGTTACTGTAAGGAATGGCTACCACTCGCTTCCGCCGACTTTTGAAGTACGTCACGTTGCAGTTTCGCCGAGCCTATGACCGCGGATATTGGGATTGTCATTTCTGGCCTGTTCGGCAGTCTGTCATGCTAAGCACGAGGACCTGCAATTTCCAACTCGACTCCGGTTGATCCTTGAGTCCAGCGTTCTGCCAGACGCCCGCTGGGTTGCAATAGTTACTCGGAAAAGTCATGAGAGAATACTGTTGGCCAGCCCGACCTGATTGCAAAATGCAGTAAAAGCGCTTCGCCGCGCGACCGCGCCGGGATTGAAAGTAGGTTGCAGCTCCAAAGCGAAGCACAAACAGCCGCACTTAGTCCTTCAACCATGATGGTTCGGTCAACGCCACCTACCTCGGTAGTCTGCCCATCTACCAGTGGTGTCAGCGCATTCGAACAAAAACGAATAACGGTTGCCGTTCTACTTTGTCGATAAGCCACGCTGTCGATCTTTTGGCTTTCTAAACGATAAAATCTTGGTCTGTTAGGTCCGATGGACCGCTCATCTCTAGGTTCACCATGTGAAAATGAAGAAAATGTACCCTCCTGGTTTCTGCCGTCCAATGGTACTGTCCTGATAAAGTCTGCTTGGTTGTAGATTGGTACCGGAGCATGCAAAGGTGTTTTGTCTGCCGCTGCACCGCTGCTTGGAGGGCACTACGCAGCTTACGCAGCCTGATCTTGGAATTCGGAAGATAGCCGGTAACTACTCCCTTGTTGTACGGCGTCTGGGAGCACGTCGAGTTGGTGTTTTAACCCTGCCAATGCGTGTAACGCTAGAGAGAGTAGGGGTGGGACGGCTTCGTCAATCAATCACTGCGTCCATTCTCAGTTTTAGTAGTCATGGCTGCGGAGGGAGAAGCTGCGACAGAAGCTGCACGAGTCTCCACTACAGTCTGTTCCACGCTTACTTCTCCTAGCCTCCCTCTCCCCCTGGTAGTGGTGATCTACGTCTGGGTCGCCTCGGAAGAACAATAGCATGTTTGTGCTAAGCTGCGCCAGGCTGCATGCTAATGAATCATCCTTCTTGGTCTTCCTGCGTTGCCCATGACACAAATGGAAAACCGCTAAAATCTGACCAAGTTCCTAATAAGGAGGGTGACTGTTGGACATGTCGCGTCAACACTCGATCTGGAGTTCAGTATCCTCGCGACCAATTAGCTTTTAGCACTTTAATGGCTCTTTTGACTCGCTGCTACTTATGACTGGGGGTTTAGTCCGCAATGGCTCCTTCTTAAGGCAGCATTTAGGAACCAAATTAGGTGATATCCTAGTACCCCTCACCGAAGACTGGTTACTGTGGAATTAGGAACGCGTTTGGTACGCGTAGACATACATTCAGTCCATTTGAACAGTTCACCCACCTGTACTCTCGACTCAGTTTTGTCGACGGAACAGCCCATACGGAAAAAAATGTGAGGTAGCTGCGCCGAAGGCCTGCACCATTATAAGAAATTTGCACGCAGGTTGTCATTGTTTGCTCACTGGGACAGTGGTGGTTCTCGTTTTTTTTGAGATCAACCAAATTGTTAGCCTATTACGACTTCCACCTTTTTCGGTTCGGGTGCGGTTCGTCGAGAGTAAGGATGCAAACATTCTGATTGTTTACACAAAGGGCGCGTTCAGGCAAACTCTTCTGACGCGTACCGTTCGTGGCATCCCTTCTTCATCTTCTGCAGACCTTTTACCAATACCGGTCTAATGTGTGGCCCCTAGTAAGCTCTTGGTACTGTTTACCACCTTTTAATGATCAGTTTTTGCCTTCTTGTCGCCCTATTTTAGACCAAATTTCCCTCTCGACCTTCGCCCCCACCTACCGAGGACTTTCAATTCTGATAAAGAATGTATGTATAGTTTTAGGAAAATAAAGTTTGTCACTCTGATCACTTATTCTTCTCTCTTACCTGTTCATCCCCTTTTCCCTCTCGAACCTGAAAATTAGGTCCAAATTCTGAACGGTGCATGACTGTTTATATTTCATGGTACTTATTTTGGACTCTATTGGGTTCCCCTGTAGGTAGGGGTCGTGGTGTACGATTTCGGACTACCTTCCAGGGGACTCGGCTCGAGACCCCGCACTCGTCTGTCTAGTCTAGTCACTAGAACGCGATCGTCTTAAGGTGATTCAGTGAACTCTCTGATGTGCAAGTCTCCCTCATTTCAACCAACTTCATTCGTCAGTCGCCATTGTCTTCCCTGTTAGTACTGTTAGCCGCCGATGACAATTGACTAAATACCAGGGAGGGAAGCATTTGTAGGTGTACTAGGTAGCCAGTTTGATGGAATGAGAGCTATTCCAAGTGTCAAACCGCATGAAGTTCTTCATTTCCCTCTGACGCTCAGGTCCCGTGGTCCCGCAAGGCTGTGCGAAGCTCACCAGCGACGCCTCAGCAACACATCGATTAGCTGACGTACCCGGCGTGTTTCCCCACTGTAATGAGTTTTCTTTCAAAGTTTGCTCAAATGGTAGGAGAGGAAACAGAACACGCCTGGGCAGCACGGACGCCACATCATCCATTGAAATGAGGCTCACCTTCAACCCTTGTGACTCATATCGGGAATGAAAAGAACGCTCGATACTGACGTTTGACCCAGTTTTCCCCACTATCCTTTGCAAAGCATGTTAGTTTGGTCACGCCTTCGTTAACTCAGGTGACCACACAGGCTAGTAAGCACTATAAGCAGGACCAAGGTAACTACCCTCCTTAAACCCCACCTTCAGTGTCCGCATCCCGGTCCATTGTTGTTGCCTAGATGGGTGCGTTTAACTTCCCCCTAGTTTCACGTGTGCACGTGATGTTCGTATAGTGTGTGGTCCTTAAAAGCAAGTGGCGTTGCAGCGTCGGGCAAACCTTTGTAACGCCCCCGAACCGGGGATCTGGAGGGTGGCCAACTTGGGAGACAGTCTTGCCGACAGTCGAACTGCAGTGGCTTCGATGTCACCTGACTGATTCTCCTGCGTTAGCCATCGCGGTACGTGCCTATTTAGCCGGAGCGCCATACCTTCGTAGATGTCACAGTTGTGGCATTCAACGTGTGCGCCTGTTGGGCACACAAGAAGCCCGCCTTCTAGTCTTCTTGACTGTGCCTTACTGCTAAAACACGTTGGACGATAGTGAAACCAGCTCCACCAAGCCCTCGTCACTGCAATCAAGCTCACCTTATACTTATCACGTCCCAGGTTGTTATGTTGGTAAGATGTGGTCTGGTAGCCCCACCTGATGGACACACTACTGTTGGGGTTAGGGTTACAGGGTAGCGTTAGGGTTAAGGGTTATGGTTAGGGGTTACGGTTGGGGGCCAGGACTGGGGTTAAAGGTTAGGATTAGGGGTTAGCGCAACTATTTCCCAAACACTGAAAGTGCAACCGCTCACCCTCAATAGCATTTCTTTTGCTTACAAATTGGCCCCGTCGCCTGTGCGTTCCCCGGCTCCACCTGTAAAACCCCTATTACCACCGGTCCCGTATTAGAAGTGACTGGGGTTTGTTTACGATAGGTGGGACTACAAAACCACATCCAAGCCGTTATGTTCCTCCACCAAAAAAACCACTAACGATTTCCCCGGCGTTTGGGGAACGGGTAGTGAGAAAAAAGTTATATCCGTGGCGTTTCAGCCGAGCCCTCCCCCCCCCCTCCCCGGCTTGATTGTATTTTGGTAAAACTGTAGCACTTTCAATGGCCACGCCCCGGTAACCGCCCTAAACGATAGGCTAAACCTTACCAGGTCGGCCCGTTGTTTAGCCACGGGTATGCGTATGGAGACGGGGGAAGTTCCAATCCGCCGAGCGGTCACGAAGACAAACTAACGTGTTGTGATCCGTCTGCAGACCGAAATTAGGTGTGCGAATTGTTCTGCGTTGCTTCTACTTTCATTTGCCTGGACGTGGTACCATATGTGGACATCAAGAAGGGTAGGCGCGAGAGTTTACTCCGGTTTTTATTGACAGTTGGACAAGCCTTCCTCCTGGGGACCGCGAGCCCACTTCCCACCGGTCTTTTTGATTGCTGGACGGAATACGAGCGTCATGTTTTGCCTCGAGGCGTCAGTTCTGAGCTTCCGCAGATAGCCAAATAGCGACGAGCGTCTCCTCAATTACCTATTTTAGAATCGGGTCAGGTCGGCTGATAAGCGTAGTTAATCTTCAAATCACCACATCGACTTAGTCTGTCGCCTGCGAGTCCGTTGCACTGCGGGCTGAGAACCCGTGTCTGCGGCTCCGACTCATAGCATTACGTAAGCTCTGTTCAAAACACACATCTAAGGGTCCTTAACATGGCATATCTCCGCGGCAAAGCAGCACATCCAAAACCTTCTTGTTCCAGCCTCGCCTGTCCGCATACACAAGTCACTCTTAGGTTACACATGCGCCTATTCGGTCACACGTGTATACTTAGTAAAAATTAGCAAAGAATCGCATTACTCATGCAACCGTCATGCGGTGCAGTTTGCTGCCATCGATAGGATGAGTATAATGTCTTGTATGAGGAAGTGCACACCTCACTTATTATGTGAGAAGCCTGTCATTTGGCGAAAACTGGTCTTGCGGAGCAGGGGGCCAGCAAGTGTATGACATGCGCTCTAGGCTACTTCGCATCATGCTAGCCACTGTGCATGATCTTATCATCATTTGGTTAGCGCATTTGAGAGTGGGCAGAGAGAGAGAGAGAGAGAAGCGGATGTTGGGGTATCCACCCCCATAATGTATCATCACACTCCTCTCTCTGGTGCATTTGACGCGCTTGGATCTATCGCAACTAGCTTTTAGTAGCGGCTCAGAAGGTTGCCAACTGACGCTTTAACACGGTCCCTTCTCAGAGCTAGACGGCGGTGACCCCTTCGTCATATAACTTTTATGGCATTCTGCCTTATGTGAGATCCGGGGTCGCTAACTAAATATAGCCGTGTGCATGGGAATTAGGCGACAGTCGGACCGTCGTTACCGACGATGTTCACCGTGTGCTCCACTGAAAGGTGAAACAGGCACGGCGACTTGCGCGTGAATTAGTTTATAGTGAGTGTAGACTTGCGCAGCATCTACCGCACTCTCTCTTCCCATTCCCCACTGGGCCCGTTGTCAAGACATAGTAAAGAACACCAGAGGCGGGCGAGAACGCAGGTGGCTGGCACGGCCGTACCCGCACCTTGGCGTTCCACTGCACACCCCCTGGTCCACACAGCAAATGACCAGGATTTTAACCAACAACAAAAGACTGGCTGGCGCCACCGAAACCGCGCCTAGGCGTGCCGTCACGCCTACTTCGGATCCCAGGGAGTGGGAGTGCCATAAAGGCCACGTTACGAAGGAGCCATTGCGGCCTGACTCTTAGACTACCAGCCGGCTACTCCACGCAAACACACAACACTGGGCCGACTGCGAGGTCAAAGTTACCCCGCCAGTTGGCAACCATCCAAACCACGACTTTTAACGCACCGTGATAGCTTCAAGCACGTCGAACTTCTTATAGTGAAGATAATGTACTGAGCCGTCGACCTCATTTTCTCTTCGCATTCCCAGGCCGCAGTCACTGTCCGAGCGGGGAATGGCAATTAGGCACCAGGCTGTGCGTGGCACTCGTTGACTGGCTGTTTAGCCTTGTTTGGCTCCCTTCCGGTCATTTTGACTCTATTTTGCTATCGGAGGACGGTGGGTGGTATGCAAGAAAAAGGTGAGTCTAGACGCATCAAAAGTCTGCCTCACTGTGAACAAGTGCACACGCTAGTCACGCTGGACGTTGTCGGCAGTGGTCAAGTTATCGTGTATTTGGTTGTTAATGTGTCAGGTCAGAGATGTACGTTTTTGTATGTCGCGAATAAAGGTGATGGTAGTAGGTTATTACCGACAAAGACAACGGAGACTGGAATGGCCATTTCTGGCTTATTAGCCGTCGTCAGCCAGCCATACCCAAGCCCGAAGTGTGGAACACCCGAGCCTCGAACTCGCGACCTGTTGGTTTAGAAGTCCACGCCTCTAACCACTGGGCCACGAGCCCGTCGCCCCATCGGTTTTCAATCGGGAATATACAATGGTAGGGGGCGGTCACTGATCGCTTACACGTAACTCACTTGTTCCGTTGTGCCGTACGGCAGTCGTAACCAGCAGTCGCACAGCGGCGCATAATATAGGCAGTAGGTTATTACCGACAAAGATAAGGGAGACGAGTGTGGAACACTCGAGGCGTGGACTTCTAACTAACAGGTCGCGAGTTCGAGGCTCGGGTGTTCCACACTTCGGGCTTGGGTATGACTGGCTGGCGACGGCTAATAAGCCGCAAATGGCCACTCCAGTCTCCCTTGCCTTTGTCGGTAATATCATAATCCTGAATCTTAACCACTCCAAACTTCTGTAGAGAAGACTATCGCGAGTAGGGGAAAGAAAGTAGCCAGAGGGCATCCGCTGTTGTAAAAAGGGGTTAACACCTCTGACCACCATAACTTCTTCCTGGTTTCCTACTTCTGACAAGACCCCCTCTTTACATACGTGACTGTGAATGGCGAGAACCAGTTAACCACTGTATATTCCCGATCGAAAACCGACAAGGCAACGGGCTCGTGGCCCGGTGAGTAGAGGCGTGGACTTCTAAACCAACAGGTCGCGAGTTCGAGGCTCGGGTGTTCCACACTTCGGGCTTGGGTGTGGCTGGCTGACGACGGCTAATAAGCCAGAAATGGCCATTCCAGTCTCCCTTGTCTTTGTCGGTAATAACCTACTGCCCATATCAGGCGCCGCTGTGCGGCTGCCAGTTGGGCTCGAGAGCGCCCGTAAGGCACAACAAAACGAGTGAGTTCGTAAGAACGATCGGTGAGCGCCCCCTACCAAAGACGATGGTCCATATTTCAGATAATTCGATCAGCGAAGTGTCTTACCTTCGTATCGCCTTGGGTACCGTTTTTTAATGAAGCAATAAAAGTGGTGAGATGGTTAATGGAGTAAGAGTGAGATTGTACACGTCAACAAATCGTCAGATCAAGGGCATGCACAAGTTTTGGAATCCTGCTAAAAAGAGCTCCATCGGTTGCAGGACAGTCACATTAAGCCATTCGAAAGAAGGGACTTCGTCGAGAATGTCAACGGATGCAGGGCTGGGGGATTGTCGCGCCCCATATACTCACTGAGATCTCTGACTACTGGAGGAGAATATGCACGCTGGAGGAAGGCCATGAGTTCGACTTCGCCAACACGCGGATATTGGCGCGAGCCGGGGCGAGAACTGTTGGAGGCATGGCTGTCGGACACCAACTCTATCAATAGACACATTGATTTGCCTGCGTGTTATCACGCGCTCCGCCCACGCAGCCAGATGGCGCAGCTCACATCGCCGCGAAGTACAAACGGCGTCACCACTCCGGGCGACCATTGTCGACCAGGCGGTACAAACCAGACCTAGCTACGGACGTAGTCCCCCCCCCCCCGCACGGAACAACGATATAAATGTGCACTCGTTGCTGTACTCTAGCAGTCTCTGATAAACTCCAGTTCGAGTTCGAAAGCTAAGGCCGGTAAATCTTCTGTCCCAGTGATTGTGACATCATTCTGACCGCGTAGACGAAGGCCGCTGTCCGGTGATAGAGCTAAAGTATTATCTAGGGAAAATCTAATGTTCATTTATGAATCCTTGCCTGATGGCACTTCAGCGATGACTTTCCAAGTTATCTATGATGGGCATATTCGAAAAGGATTATTTAAGTAAAACCTTTGCCTTGTTATGCGTTTTAGTCAATTATTCCCAAAACAAGACGGGAGAAGCTTTAGCTTCCTTGCATGAATTTGGGTCCTCTCAAATTTTTGAATTTAGAACCTAACCTATCTTTTGAAAAGTCCCCCTAATTTGTCTATTTGTTGCAGCACTATTTGCGTTTTCCCCCTTCTCAGGGCTACTCAGTTACATTCTGTGCATACTCTGTCAGGTCATTTTTATTATCCTTTTCGTTTTGCTGTGGAGGAATCTATCGCAGCCGTCATAAGACACCTGAATAGAAGTTGGTCAGAGAGTCTGGATTCGACTCCGAGGCTGTGCAAGCCTAGGCTCGGGTAAGCCCGACTGAGGAAGGCTAGTTATCCTGAAATGGCCATCCCAGTCTTCCTGGTCCTTGTTAATACTCCTTCCTTCCGCCAAACGCATACCTGGGCGCAACGGAACGAGCATGTTCCACAAGCTGGTCGACTTCTAGCCAGTACATGTGTTAAACGTACGGTTTAAATCACTGTCATACAAATTTATATCTCCAGTAGTACTCCATGTTTGTAGAATGTGTGTTGTTCAGTTATTCCGCAGAAGTCATTCGTCTTCTCACTCAAATGTTCATTGCATTTTCGTTGATGGCTCTAAATAAGTAATGTCTCGAACACTCAACTCCAAGTACCGCCCTTAATAATTTGTAAATTTATTAGCCTCACATTTCTCTGGAGTTCATATGCCAGAAACTGGCATAGGGAACGTTTGGGAATCTATTCTCTCGCCATTGTGTCATGTAGTGGCGGAGACGTCGGTGACACACGTGTATGAGCTCCTAGCTAATACCTATGCTGCAACGATCGGTGAGCCCCCCTACCATTATATATATCCCCGATCGCAACGGAGACAGGGCAACGGGCTCGTGACCCAGTGTTTAGAGGCGTGAAGGCAAGTTGCTCAAGCTTCCGCACTACTGTTTCGGCAATTCGTCCAGACAGATGTGAGCCTGTCTCTTTCACTTTTTTGTCGCGTTTGGGAGATGAAGAACGTGATAACTTGTCTGGGCCTCGGACCTTTAAGCCTACACATGTATGTATATGTATACACTCTGGAATGCGAGCACACCGATCCGTTGGCTCCCCAAAGCAAACAAGGGGAAATGGGTGGGGCGCCGAACAACCAGTACAGACAGAGCGGCGCCCTCCCGACTCAAGTGCCAAACTAGTATCGATTTTTGGCACGTTTAAAATGTTATCTCTTCTTATGTATTTTCTCAACGTCTGACAAAGACCTGAGGAACCAGCGCCGAAAATGTGTCCAACAAACTCTCCTACGTTTTCCAAAAAACTATCTTGCTTCGAATCATATGTCTTGGAATGCCTGCTTTACCGATAAAGATAAGGGAGACTGGAATGATCATTTCTGGCTTATTAGCCGTCGTGGGGTGTGGAACACCTGGCGCTCTACCATTGTGTATGCCCGATCGAAATCGACAGGACAACGATCCCGTAGCTCAGTGGCTAGGGGCTTTGGACTTCTAACCAACAGGTCGTGGGATCAAGCCCCAGGTGTCCCACACCTCGGGGTGGGTATTACTGGCTGATGACGTCTAATGAGCCAGAAATTGCCATTCCAGCCTCACCAGAGAATGTCAACACGAAAAATCGGTCTATGCGTGCATGGAGTCAGTCTTTGCTGAAGAACTGATAAAAATGACTGTCTGCGGTCACATTCTAATGGATGTTCTAGTCAATAAATTTACCCCCTCAGAACCACACCCACCCTGCGCTCTCATGCTCCTTCTACCCCTTTTCACCGCCTGCGGTCAGAACCCAGAATGGTGAGCTTGGAGTCCAACACGTCAGAGACTCCCTCAGCCGTGCGATCCTCTCGATCTGTGAAATTTTCGACCACCTTGACTTGCACCAAAGAGGCCGCAACTGCCGCCCCAGATGGTAAGTCTGGAAAGTCTGCCGCACAGCCAAAGTCCTGTCTCAAACGCCCTGCTGAGGTCAGTGAAGCAGACGTTGACATTGACAGTCAGCCGCCCTCCTCAGTCAGTAAAAAGGCCAAAAAGAGTCTTAACGCACGGAAACATCTCAAGTGGCTGAAGCGCAGAAAAAGGAAAATTCGTTCAAGGAAGGCACGAAAGACGGCGGCTGCTGCTGCTGCTGCCAAGACGGGCGATCGACTGCAGGATGCGCTTGCATACCTCACCGACTGGTACGAACACCCTGAGACGTGGAAGTTCAAGAAGCTCCTCCAGGTCACCCTCATCAAGCACGCCTTCGACGCCGAGCTGGTGAGTTTAGATGTCGCCTAGTTGTCCATTTGGAGTGATGTTTGCAACCAGCAGGCCTCCTCAACCTGACTACTTCTCTCTCTCTCACGTCGACAGATCAATGATGATGTGTTTGAACTCTTCCTCCACTATTTGGCCGGAATGCAGGGAAAGTCGATAGATCGACTGACCGCGCTGTGCCACCGCCTGATAGAGAACAAGGGCAATGCTGTTGATCCCTCAGACCCTGTCGTCCCTCGCCCCTCCGTCGAGGCGGTCTCTGCATCCGCTGATTGTGTGTCACCGACAGATTACCCCACCGGTAATTCCTCCTTCCAAGCCCTCTTTGTTGTCCTGCCTTCTACTTATTTACCCAATCACAGGTATAATGAGAGAAGCTCGGAGAACTGTGATGTGGTTGTCAGGTGTAGAAATGAAGGAAGAGTCCAAAAGCGAACCCCCGGCTTCCCTGCCATTGATCGTTCCCCGTTGTTGAGTTATTGCTGGAAGAATTTTTAAGCAAACAATAGGTCGGATCGTTGATTAACTGTGCTGGCTTTCGCTTGTCTGACCTCACCTATTGCCTCTTTGGCTAGCTTTCTGCTCGCTTGGCGGATTCGTCCTTCATGATTAACGAAGTCCGTCATTCTGCCGAGGGTGCAGTAGTAGTGGCCTGCGTACGAATTGATTTTATGTGAAAGTGATCCATGCTACCTCTGCCGCCTCCACGTTCGCCTTGTCCCGTTTGCGATGCAGGTCTTGGATGTTTAGAAATGGTGTGAACGTTTTGGCTGAATCCGCGTCCAAAGTGCTCGCACACTTGCTGTTCCCTACACGTTCTCGCGGAGCCTAACAGGCAGAGTTGTCATATGGACCACATTAAAGACTAGCCATTGCGGCATGACTCTTAGTCTGTGGGAGGACCAACTTTTCCTGCCAGTTGACAACCCTCCAAGCCACGACTTTTGACGCGTCAGGGTAGTTTATTATTCGTTGGGTTGTTAAGTTGAGGAGCCAAACGCTGGATCTACTTTGAATCTCTCTCTCTCTTCTCTCCTGGTGTAACAGCGTCAAGCCTGAGACCTGGAGTGGGTACAGAGTCTCCGTCCGGCCTCCAGCGATGCAGTCAGTTTTAGGGGCCTGTCTAATAACTTGCGCACCGTTGAAAGCAAATTGGTGACTGTGTTCAAGGCATTCCGCTCATTTCCACTTCTCACCGACAATCCCTGTGCCCACATTCGCGTCACCAGTCTTTTATTAGCACGACCGGACGACTGATCGTCCCCGCGGTCCCGCTTCTGTGTCTGCTTTTATTGGTCTTTGTATGTGTTTCTCAATTTTCGTGGTTTTTCTGACACATCGAGACTCGTGGACGATGTCACCTGGCCGTAAGTTAGTGAGTTAGTAGTTGTCCCCAGCCAGTCCTATCCCAACCCCAGGTCTTAATTAGTTGGGGTTCGGGCAAGGTTCTGGTATGTAACCCTCTTGGGGAGACCGTAGTGAGCTGCAAACCTAACGCCAACCATGTTCATGCCCTTAGTAGGAAATCTCTACCTGGTAGGCATTTAAAAAAAGTCGTACGTAACCGTAGCCGTTAGCTGAGCCCTAAAACTCACTCGTTCCGTTGTGCCTTATGGGCTCTCTTTCGAGCCCAACCAGCAGCCGCATAGCGGCGCATGATATAGGCAGAATGGCGTTACCGACAAAGACAAGGGAGATTAGAATGGCCATTTCTGGCTTATTAGTCGTCGTCAGCCAGCCATACCCAACGCCGAAGTGTGGAACATTCTGCCTATATCATGTGCTGCTGCTGGTTCGGCTCGAGAGAGAGCCCATAAGGCACAACGAAACGAGTGAGTTCCGTAAGAACGATCGGCGAACGCCCCCTACCATTTTATATTCCCGATCGAAAACCGACAGGGCAACGGGCTCGTGGCCCAGTGTTTAGAGGCGTGGACTTCTAACTAACAGGTCGCGAGTTCGATCCTCGGGTGTTCCACACTTCGGGGTTGTGTATGACTGGCTGACGACGGCCAATAAACCAGAAATGACCATTCCAGTCGAACTTGTCGTTGTCGGTAATGCCATCGATAACGCTTTTGGAGGTCAAGATTCCGCGACCTACTGTCTGACAAACTGTTTTGAAACAGACCAATCACAGGGGGGGGTTACATACCCTAACCTTACCGAACCGACATTTGCGTGTACCACAGGCGTGCTGATCCCCCACACACCCACAAGCTGCAGTTTAATAAAGGGTCACGGGTGTCACATTGATGATAGTTGTCGTCAAGGCCTCATTGGAAAAAACCTACTGCAGCCAGACGCGCAGTTCGGAGAAGGACGTCCCGTCCCGTCTGGTAGCCTTTATAAACTAACCGCTGAACAGGCCTGAAGAAAGTGAACTGGGAGTCTACCTTGTTCTACCCCTTCTCTCCCACGGTCTGCTTCACACCCGTTTGCCCACTTTAAGTGTAACCCTTCAACCTGGTCCGCTTTGAGAATTAAAATTTAATGTATGCAAAGGAGTCATTGTTTGTGGATCTCAGCAGTATCCATTTGTACGTATGGCCATATCCAGTGTTATTTATTGACCCTATTGTCGCTCTGAGTGGGGAGCAACTGATTTTCCGTCTAGTCAACAAGCCGGTCCATTAGTTTATTAGATCACAGATGACTTCCATGAGTTTGGGACATTATTTTTGATTCACCTCCCATGGTATTGGTAGTGAAATACCGGTTCACGTACGAGCCTTTACGCCGACAACTTCGTAGCACTTTTTGAAGGGTCCCGCCTATCCCACCTCGGGTCGTGGAAGCCGGAGTGCCCTTAGAAACCACCAAACACGATACTTGTTGTGTGGTTATGTGTAGTGCTATGTTTTCCTACGAAGTTTAACGTCATTTTCACTGTGCTCCTCCGTCCCTCCTCAAACATCACTGTCTTGAGTCTTGGGTTCAAATCACGCGAGGGAACCACTAGGCTTAGCGGTCCGCAGCGACGCCTGTGCTTCTGGCTTCCCTCCTAGCTAATCTATGCCCCTCACCCGATTTCCAGCTGTCAATTTTACCTCCATTGTGCGGTTTATTGTGATCTCATTCGCGAAGCGGAAAGTTCCAGGCCCCATAGTCACACTTCCTCCCTTTGTCTCCTTGGAAAAAAAAGTCAACAAGTGTTGCGTTCTGGTTTGAACTTGGGCTGTTGGTTAATAAAATTTAGCACACCTAGTCTACGTGAATTTCAACGCAGCCTAGTGCACACATTCTTTTTATCGTCCCTTTTTTTCCTCGTGGGGTGTTGCGAAATTGGGTGTGCCAGTACCTCCGCTAATCAGGTCGCCTCTCTCTCTCACACACACACACCCGCCCATTCTAGCCGCAATCTCGGAGATTTTCTCGTTGCCATAGCACGGCGTTGGGCTGTGGAAGCCGCTGCGCTTTGGCAGGCTTGACTAGGTTGGACATTGGCGTCTGGGTCGACAACTGTTTTCTCCTCACCTCCGCAACGGGGCGGGGCTTTTTTGTTTACATTAAGCCCCTTTGGTAGGAGAGGTAGAAACTAACCCTGCTGTTTCCGGACTTCCAAAGATGTCTACTGCTAGGTAAGGTGTGTGTTTATAGGGTCATTCTGATACCTGGGCTGGACAAAGTGATAGTACGCATGAGCCCTAAAACCAAGAACTTCCATTCTAAGAAATACGACGAAACACTCCCCCCGTCCTTCTTTTCTGCAAGTCTGTGCTATTTAAAGATAGCCAGGAAGGGCTCTTGAGTTACTGAATCCTTGAGGGAAAATGCCTACATAGTGTGCTTTTTGAAAATGGGCCTGTGCTATGCCTGACATGGGAACGCCCTATAACACCTACCCGGTAGGGTCCGAGCCTCATCACTTGAAATCACAAAATGTACCGTCAGCTTGAAGATACCGTTAATTTGGCACCACAATGGCAATAAGTAAAAAATTAAACCCCATGACATCTCATACAGCGTTATTTGCTGGTCCCCTTACCAACGAAGGACCCCTACAACCACCAAGGGTGTTCACATTTGAAAGGCCGTCGTAGTATGTTATTACCGACAAAGGCAAGGGAGACTGGAATGGCCATTCCGGGCTTATTAGTCGTCGTCAGCCAGTCATACCCAACTCCGAATTGTGGAACACCCGAGGCCGAAACTCGCAACCTGTTAGTTAGAAGTCCACGCCTCTAACCACTGGGACACGAGCCCGTTGCCCTGTCGGTTTCGATCGGGAATATCCAATGGTAGGGGGGCGCTCACCGACCGTTGTTACGGAACTCACTCGTTCCGGTCGGTGAAGCCATCCTAACCTTAGTTGCCTTTCTTTAAGCTAACGGCTTCCGTCTCCCATGTAGGCTCTAATACTTTTCCCAGACAAAATGGCCCGGGGATTTCATCCCTCATAGCCCTTTTGTAGGGCAATTATGTCATCTCAAAATTGTACACTTTAGAGGCGATATATTGTATTTCAGGACAATTTTTATAATTTGGACACCTCAGGCGTCTGACCAATAACTATTTCTTGTAATATTTGCATTTGTTGACTCAGTTCCCAAGGCCTATTGATGGTGACTAATATACTCAATTATGGTAATGGTGGAGGAGCGCTCACCAATCGCGTTAGGGGACTCACTCGTCGCATTTTGGCTTGGGGTTTAATCTCAAGCCCTGCCAGCAGCCGCTCAGTGCCTAGTATTACTGGCAGAATAACATTGCCGAGAAAAACACGAGAGACTGAAACGACAATTTCTGTTTTACTGGCCGTCTTCAGTCAACCATTCCGGTTTCCCTTGTCTTTGTCGGTAATACCATTCCTCATGTATTACTAGTGGTTCCAGATAGAACCTCAAGGTACAAGGGGACGAACTGGTCCCCCGATTAGGTTGGGGAGCGCTCTCTATCGTTGTTGATGTACCCGATCATAATCGACTTTGAGCCCGTGACCCGAGGTAGAGCATTGGACTTCTTAACTAACAGAGCGCGGATTCGATCTTGTGGGGGTTGCAAGCAAGGGCTCGAGCGTGGCTAGCCGATGAAGGCCGAAAATAGCCATTCCGACCTCCTTTGCCTTTGCGGTAATATCATGCCAATTATTCTATATGGTTTGCTATTTTCAGGGCATTTTACGCCAATCGCTGAAAACAGTGAGGACATTTAGAGCGAAACCCCTTTTTAAAAAATTTCAGATTATTAACAGTTTTTGTCGAAGATGCTTCATTTTTCAACCAGGCCTAAGATTGCTGCCACTTTTACCAAGCCTACTACTTACAGTAGGTGTGCTAACGCATAAAATGTCAACCGAAATTCTGAAATGCGTTTTGATTCGAGAAGGTTACGAAAGTAAGTTTTTAAAATTATTCATCATGTAGTATAATTCTATAATAATGCAGTTACCTCGGGAAGCCGACTTTGGAACGAATTTCTTTCTGGCCGCATGCAAAAAGCACACTGTAAAAAATGGCTGTTTATGTAGCATTGATTTTTCTCATTGATTTTCGACGCTTTTAAGAATTCAATTATATTTCATAGAAAACGTGAATAAAACTATTCATTCTTGTACTCACTTGGTAGAAAATTGCGTCTTCTTCCAATTTTATACTTGAAGAAAGGGTATAATACTGTTTTAAAAAAGTTTCTAGTTAATACCGTGAAATGCTTGTTCATAAAACATCGTGTCTCTGCATTTACTAGCGTCACCTGTAAAATTTCCAATAGACTCAAATACACTACCAAATTTTATTAATCCCATATCGCTTCCTCATAATGCCGAAGAGAAAGATATGGTTTTCCGTACGCAGGAAATATACGGTTCGTAGTATGCAAGTATAACGACAGGTCGGCTTTAAAATTATTTGGGAGTTGAGAAAGTGTTTTAAAACCGAATTATACCCTTTCTTCAAGTATACAATTGAAAGATGACGTAATTTTCTGTCGAACGAGCAAAAGAATGAATATTTTTATAGATCCTTTGCATGAAATATCATTGAATTCTTAAGGGCATCAAAAATCAATAAGAAAAATTCATGCTACTTAAGTGGTCATTTTTTAGAGAGTGTGGTTTTTGCATGCGGCCGGAAAGACGTTCGTTCCGAGGCCGGCTTCCTGAGGTAACTGAATTACTATAGAATGATGCTGTAAGGTGATTAGTTTTAAAACTGTACTTAAGTAATCTTTTCGAAACGAAAACTCACTTCAGGATTTCGGTCAACATTCCATGAGCCATCACACCTACTGTATGCTTGGGGGGTTTTCACGGAGTAAAACCGCCGTAGTTGAATGCTAAAGTTGTTTTTGGGATGTTTACCTGCCAGCGTTTATGAAATCAATTCTGATCAAGGCAAGCTGGAGGATAAATCGAAAAGCGAAGTCCGGCACCTGCGAAATCAGGCACCCTTCCCTGACCTCTCGGACTCACGCACTGTTTATGCCGAGTCTGTTTTAGGATTCTCTTCGCTTATGACGACGACTTTGCGTCCTTTAGGCTTGTTCGAGCTCTGCTTGTTGAATAATTAAGTTTTCCTGGACAATTTAGCTATCTCTTAAATATTTACTGTGTTCTGACGGAGTCAAAGTTATGATGGACGCTCATCAAGGAATAAGCGATTCGCGATCCTTCGGTTGCCGCAGCGTACCCCAGCCATGCGCTCCTGTATTCATGCTGCCAAGTTACTACCCGTTTGACTCGTGTAATTAATGGATCATTTACCGCATATGATGTAAGAAACTGCTGAGGTTTCGGCTGGTCAGGCAAATGCATCGAACACCCCCGGAAGTCTAACTTTCCTCATCGTCTGAGTTGTTTCCTGCGGCGCGTATCTTCTTACTCTCCTCGCGTTCTGCACTTTGCCTCGTGGCAACTTACCCCCAGGCCCCATTTCTGTTTGTCATAGGAATTTTACTCGGTTTTGCCCGGGCTTCAGTGCACACTCTGAAACACTGTTTTTCTAGAAAACACTGTATAGGATTTTTACCGGTAGGGAACAAGCACTCAGTGTGATGAGTTGCAAGCAATATAGTTCATCTTCAACAGTCCTGAAAAGTCTTCGGAGTGGGTCCTTTCGCCCCGTGAACCTTGTTTTTTAATGCTCGCCTCTCTGATCGAGGTTTCCTCCTATCGGTCTGACCTCTGACTATTATAGCTTGCGTGTTTGACGTTTATTTACTGTTTCCTTTTCAGATTCTGCAATTATTGTGAATCGCGCCAAACGCATGTTGGAGTTTCTCCAGCCACCATGAATCCCCCCACCCTCCCTAACGGACGCAAATGTTGTGAAAGAACGAATAAATTCCCCTTTCCTGCACATAACTCCTTCTCTACAACCGAATCTGTTATAACGATCTGGTTGGACTCTGGTTTTAGGTTAGGTGGGACTGTTTCAAATAAGTACTTCCCACTTTAGACGCTTTTGTTAGGCAATTTGGGCTGTGGCTTGCTGCATCACCTTTCGTTTTCGATGCTTGTCCCGAGAACGTTTCTGACAGATGTGGCACACACACTCACACACTGTCGTTCTTTTAGAGACTTGATTGGCAGGCACTGGAAACGTGAACAATGCGTCAGTCAACCACTGACGCCACGTCTCTTGTCAACTTGTACGTCAGGGCCGTTTTCAATGCACCACTACGATGTTTCCGTGTAGCCGGGCCTCCAGTCACTGTCCCGTTTAACCTACGTACCCGCTACGATAATTAGTTCAGGCAGTCCGACAGGCGAGAATTGGTAACTCAAACGCATTTAACCGGTCTTCCACGCACCTACCAGCTATGCATGGCATCCTCAGCTCAGTGGACTACACAAACATCTAGTAGGTCGCTCGTTTTAATCAGAGACGACCATTTGGTCATAAGCTTGTGGATGGGAGGCTTTGGCAACCAGCGTTGTGATGCCTACACAGACACCCGGCAATTCAACCTCTGTCCGCAACAGTACGTTGACGACGGGGGTAAGCTTGCAGTTTTGTCGGCAAGCATGTTCTTTCTGTTGGCGAAAGGTTGTTCCCACGGCGGTCTAAGTCCGGTTGAACGACAAATAGAGGGGGGGGGGGGGAGTTTAGGTACGCTGTTATACGAGGCGAGGAATTGATGGATGCGAACCGTGTGCATGTACTCATCTTCCGCCTCTGCTGCATCCCATGTTCCGTCAATCATCGTCCACAATGAACTGAAAACCCCGTAAAAGTAGACAGTCGGCAGGGTTTCCCCGTTGCTGCGGGAAATTCTATAAGTTGAGGTCGCGCGTTTTCAGATACTGGAGTGCTGTCAGCTCTGTTTGCAGGACTGGTCAGAGCGGTTGTTTGCCCATGCACCTTGAGGGACTGTGGTTAGTTCTTGTTTACTCCAGACGTAAAAACCCCGGGGTTTTCGCTTGATGACAAGTGGCTAGCCACGGGCTATCATCGGGGGCATTCTATCACACAGAGCTGCCCTTCGCCTAGTTGCGGAACGAAATGAAGTCCATACAGGCAGTCTCATATCACCGAGGAATCAAAAATCAGAGGGTTCATCACTCCTGGCCTGCTCTGCCAGCCATGCTCCAACTTTAAGCCGAATAGTCCTGACCTTCGAGTCTGGATCCAGCTGGTTCAGTATCTAACCCGGAACACCAAGGCAAACAGGCACCTCTGCATTTCGCCGCTACCACATGCTAGCCGTCGCGTTACACCTTCAAAGGCAGAATCAATGAATCGTGGATCACCCCGTGTCTTTTGATTTGGACACTAGATCCTGCTTCTGAGTTCTGGGGCAGTTATTCCAAAGCCCATTGGAGGGAGGAGTGCGTCTATTCTGTCTCAAATCCAATGCGAACTATCACTAGTACAGATCCGAGTCGTCAAGAAGTTGGAAGTTTTCAAGGGGCGGGAAAACTGAGTGGTGAAGGGACAGGTGATCAGAATGTAAGAAAGTGAGCAAGGTGGGTGCTACAAAAGTCTCCAACCGTAATCCAGCTGATAATTTTTTTACACTGCGCCCGTTTGACTGTTGTCTTCCTTATTATTTGCGATGGAGAAGTATTGACTACTCATTAGATTCGAATAAAGGACCAGAAAACGCGGGTTGCAGGCTTAGATCCGACAAAACCCCGACTTGGGTAAGCTGAATGACGACGGTTAATAAGCCACAAACAGGCACGAAATATGCCTCACTCCTGTATTACAGGTGACCCTGCCCTTCATTCCAAGGAAGTTAGGGTTGGGCTTAGGGTTAAAGTTAAAACAGGGGAAGAGGAACCCCTCGGCCTTTATGGCACTCCCACTCCTTGGTATCCGAAGTAGACGTGACGGCACGCCTACGCGCGGCTTCGGCTGTGGCAGCCACTTTTGTTGTTGGTTAGAATCCTGGTCATTTGCTGTGTGGATCAGGGGGTGTGGAGTGGAACGCCAAGGTGCGACCTCGACCGTGCCCTCCGTCGACACCCTCCCCCGCCTCTGGTCCTCTTGACTACGTCTTGACACCTGGTCCAGGCGGAGAGGAGGAGAGAGTGCGATAGATGCTTTGTTGTCTAATATCTCTATATACTGATTAACGCACAGTCACCGTCCCTGCTCCACCTTGTTATGGAGCGCACTGTGGGCATCGACGGTCGGACTTTCGTGCGTTTGTGGGTGTGGGGGTGTTTGTGTGCTTAGGTGTCCAGCACTTGTGCGGCACCATAGAAAGAGCAGATGCGTTATCTTCTTAACAGTCAGGTTGACTCAATCTTGTCACTGGTACAAAAGAGGAGACTGAAGGGGGGGCTGGGGTCGACAGCCTAACGTCTCCATCACTCTGAATCACCGCTGTCTTCCCTAAGTGTTCCTCATCAGTCTCGATGGACGGACTGTGACGCCTTCGTGGCGCTCTCAACTGTAGAATGGCTGAGATGTGAGTAATGGAAGGCAGCATTTCGTTAAACCAAACCCTCGATCGTGCCTAGGCCAGTTCTTGCGCTCAACAGGTTTGCAGTCACCAGCCATCATCGCCAGACCTGGCGCATTTGTCCAACGTCCCGTCGCGTCAAGGTCATTCACCCTCCCAGAAAGCAGTTCCAGACGCACTGACCTCGGTCTGGCCGACCACAGTATGCGCGTGCGCGCGCATTCAGATGATCACAGCAACTGAGAGCAGGTGACACCATTTTTTTCTTTCACTCTCTATCTTCTCTCACTCTCTCTCTCGACTATGACTGAACACCGTCAGGAGGTGTTCTGACCACGTTAGTGCCCACCGCTCAGGCCTCGATGCACTGCAAGACCCCTCGTTCGGGTGTCTTCGGTTTTATCCTGCTAAGCACGACTTGGCCCGAGGTTTGTGACACCTGCCATGGGTGACAACCCTTAGCCGGTACAAGCCAGCAGTTGTATGGGTTCTTTGGAAAT